CTCACTTTGCCAGCTCCTTGTAACAGTTTGGGAAATTCAGCTGAACAGGTAACAGCATACGCCTACTGACAGGCTGCTCGTCGTCTTGGACAAGTGATGGCTGTAAACATTTGTTGCCCAAGAAAAGCAGGAGTAGGGAAAGCTCTGGGCAGAGCCTATCCTTGAATGTGCACTGATCTTCCACTGAACCTTGTTTGTGGGCATCATACTTCGGCCCCAAGGAGCTGTCTATATGAGGTTTTTAACAATAGAAATGTGTGTCTTCAGTAGAATGGTGATACTGCTGTGGCAGAGAGAGCTAATGAGCATTCCTTTGTTTCCTTATGTTTCAGTTTGTGTATAGACAAATAATGAGTACTTCCAATAACTGTGTTATTTTAATGGCATTATTTTTGCTCTAACTAGACAATCTAGCTTAAAAATCATTTAAGACTAATCATTTTAATGCATAAAATACAGAGTGTTAAACTCAAGAGTCAATATAACAGGTTCATAATGTCTATATATATGAATATAAGAACCATAGAATACCATTTTATTTTAGCTTCTGTTAACAGAGAAGCCCACTTCCAGAGTTCCTCAGCAGTGCACAGCTTCTGAGAGGAATTAAGGCACCTAAATATCTTTGAAGTTTTGGGGTTAAATGCCTCTGCTTAAGTGTGCAAATAATTGAACTTATTAGACTTTGCCTTAGTTTACTACTACTTGCTTTTATTTTGCTGTGCCTGAAAGGAGGCTGCTTACATGTAAAAAGTGAAGTCTATGCCTTACCTAAATCAGGGTTGACATCTTGAACTTTTACTTCAAGTCAAAAGCTTTCAGTGCTTGATCTTGTCCCTAAGATATTTTTTTCTTTGATATCAGAAGGATTTTAGAATCAAATGCAAGTATTCTTCACGGTTCTATATGAAAGGTTAATTTAAGTTAATTACTAGGATAAAAGCAGTGAGTAGGGGGTGGCTGATTTTGTGTAGATGGAGAAGTCAGCAACTATTTCAATTTGCCCACAAAAACAGAATTCTTCCGGCTTGTCTACACAACCTGCTCCTATACAGATGGGCTTTGCTCTAAGTCGGAGGGTGCTCTGCATGGGAAGATAATGAAGGTGCTGGCCAGCTTGTGTGGAACTGAATAATTAAAGAATCTTATAATTTATGTTGCCATCAAACGCTGGAGGATATGGTCCTGCTGCAGGATAAAGAACCGACTCTCATGAATCTGAAGTGTTTCTCAGGAGATACTAAGAATGAATATTGAACACACACTTAGATTTTCTTCAAGGCAAATCATGCAATAGTTTATATAATCCTATCTTATCTATGCTTTGAGCAGTTCCATCACTGCTTGTATTTCTAGCTAATATTTTACTAGAACAAATGTATTTATAAAATGAAAGATTATAATTGATCTCTACGTGCAGCATGCCTTCTTTTTTTGTCCTCTCTCTTCATTTTATTCCCTTTACATACTTCACTTCCCCTTTAGTTTAATGGGAATTGTATACAGAATCCAGAGAAGCAAATGTACTGAAACCCTGCTAGCAATTAATTTATTTTTAGATAACTGCAGTTGATAGTACTGGAGCCTTGTCCAGTAGTCATTTGAAAAACTTGCTCATCCATTTTTCACAGTGTGCCCATTCCACTGCTGAAGATCGTGATCCAGAATACTCGCTCTTGACGAAAACAATAGAATTAAGCCACAGGGCTTTAGAAAATTGCTTTCATATTCAAGCAGTGCTACACACATACAGACACCTTGTTGATGATTTTCCTGCTCTGAAGAAAATATATTGCTGCTGCCACAAACCTGTCTGTCGGTACTTTGTCACTTACAAGTGATGATAAAATTGCAACAAAGAGACTTCGTTTTAATCTCATAGGTCATCGTTTGTACTCTGGACAGTCCCCCCTTTGTCCTCATTTAGTTTAGATAAGGTGGAAAAATCCTTTTAGTTGCCTCTAAACTTCTCTTAACAATACAAAATCCAAAAAGTCAGCCTCAAGGTACCCTCAGATTTTATCGTGACTATTTTTTCTTCATGTTTTTTCAATTAGATTAAAAGTTGGATATCCATTTTAAATAGATATTTGGTAGGCAGATGAACTACAGTCTTTTCTATTTATAGACTCACATCATGTTTAATCCCTTTAACTTTGTGCAAACCCCAGAATCATATGTTGTGTCACTGAAAATTCTGACCATTACTGTATCCACTTCTTACAGCTAAACATATTAGGTTTTAAATTCAGTTACCAAGTCCAATAATTCAAAGTTGCAAAAAACTTGTGACAGATAGAAAGATAGAGAAATTCTGAATAAATCTGCATTTCCATGAGTATTTTGAGGATAAACTTTCACATCACATGTACAAACAGCAATTTCCTTGGCTACTTTTTGGCGTTTTTTTCCCTATGCTTGCTGAGAGATTTTTCTCATCTTTGTCAGCTTCTTCTTCAGCTTTATATTTCAATGAAATCACTGAGCTGCTTGGGACATAAAGTTTGCTCACACGGGATTCCGATGCAGCAAATGCAGTGCTTTGTCTCTTGACTGCATTTTCTTGAGTCTCTTGCAGTCAGAGGCATAGTAAGAGCAAAGAAGGAAAACAGTCTTGTGAAAAAAAGGCAGCAGGGGAAGCAGGCACTCTTGCAGCACACCTTTCTCTGCCTGGGATTGCACACCAGCTGTCTGCATGTGTCTGACAGTGAGTGTTCAGGAACAAGAGAGGTAAGGAGGTGGAACCAAAGCTGCTGCTTTGCTTTTTACATAGGGATTGAACATTGTGTTTCAGAAATTAAGGGGCAGTACTGATTTCTAGAACAGATTCTCAGCTTTCTCTCACTCTTTACCCTCCGGTTGTGCCAAGCAGGGTCTGAGGTTGCCTCTCCTGCTCACACAAGGGCAGGGAAGAGTGTGTCCAAACAAACACAGGTGCTTGCTCAACAGTCCCCTGCTGTTGCTAGTCACTGTGAGTAATCTGCTGCCAGCTGACATAAAAAAAAAACAATACCCTCATGAAAATTTCACCTTGATTGAGCTGCCATGTAGCTATGGGTGGGCCTGTCCAGAAATTCAAACCTTACAGCTATGGGTGGAAGCCTCCAGAAGCTTCATGGATCTTCCTGCAAGAAAACCGAGTGTTAAGAAATAGTGGGCGCTTAGGTGCCTAAATGACCATCAAAGGCCAAACCCCTGTAAGGGCCCTATGGGAAACACACCTTATCCCTCTAAGTGGAAGGATTTTTGTACTTAAACCAAGAACTATCTGGGTTTGTCTTCCAGATGGAAACATCCTGGGCCTCCTGGCAGTCGTGCTGCCGAACAACAGCACTGCCTTCTCTTGTTGCCTAAACCCACTGCAAAAGCAGTGAAGAGCTGACAAATGCAGGATCAGCTTTTCCAACAAGTAAACTGCTCCCTTAGAGTTAGCACTTATACTTTCTCATCTGGATTTCAGTTTCGTACTAGGGCTTCCCAACTTTCCTTCTTCAGTTTCTGCATTCAGGACTTATGCTACAGTAATCTTCAAAACTAGTAACTTCAGAAATAAGTGATTTAGAAAGAAAAAAATGCCAATAATATCCTGAGTAACTGAAATGGTTAAGAATGCTAATAAGGAAATTATATATAAGGAAGCCTATGTTTCACAGTGAAAGCAAAAAACAAACAAACAAACAAAAAAAAAAACAACAAAAAAAAACAAAGCAAAAAAAAAAAACCCACAAAAAAACACCTATACTGGATAATTATGTTTTGTAGCAATTATTAAGCCAGAGATATTTGCATTTAAACAATTACACGAAAAAAAAGTTAATTTTTTTTTCAAAGTAATTTCTCAGTATAATATTGTATCACAAAAAAATATAGAAGTGATAACATTACTTTTAAAGTGAGTTTTGACTCAAAGTCTCTTTTTGCATGCACCACCTCTTCTTGACCTTATTCTGATCACATAAGTTTTTTCCATAAAAATGCGTGCACTTTAATGTCAAAAATAAGTATATACAGGAAAGAGCAAGAGGACATCTTCAACTACAGACTACAAACTAGGAGCTGAAAATTATGGAAAAGAAGTCCAAAATGATGAAAGGCATGAACAGTTTTAAGACCGTGATTGATGGAATTTTCTCAGCATTTTAGGAGGCTTTTGAAATGTTAGTGTGTTTCACAGCCAACACTGGTAGTTTCTGAATTCGTAATTTAAATCTGTATTTATACCAGGGGCTCAATTCTGAACTCAGATACAAACTACTTTCTCCTGACATATGTAATAAAATTAGTCACACACTCACTGCGCTTACGCAGGATTGCTCATGTCATACCCAGCAACATGCTGTCATGTCTGTGCTCTGTGCTCTGACTTGCACCTCTGGTTACCCCATCTCACACAGACATGTTATGCCAGAAAAACACAAACTATAGAATCACAGAACCATTAAGCTTGGAAAAGACCAGTAGTGTCATCCAGTCCAACCACCTACCCACCACCACCATGTCACTAAGCATGTCCCTTAATGCCACATCTACATAGTTCTTGAACACCTCCAGGAGCAGTGACTCCATCACTTTTGGTCCCAGTGCCTCATTGCTAAGAGAACAGTTTTTTCCTGATATCCAACCTGAATCTTTCCACGTATAACTTAAGGTCATTACCTCTCATCTTATCACTGTTACCTGGGAGAAGAGGCCCATTCCCAGCCTACCCTACTGCCTCTACCCCCAAGTTGCAGCAGCTACCCTAATTCCAAGTGTACCTAGCATTCAGTCATTGAGTTGACCTGTACTGCAGTTAATGTACTGCAGGATGAGGCTCATTACGACTAAATGCAGCGGGAATTGTGCTGAGGCTGAATATGGGTCTTCACCTTGTCCCATACTGAAACTATCTGTCCACAGGCATGACAGCTGAGACAAGAGAGTGGCAAAGAGTATAACAGAGATTGAGATTGTATTTATAATCACATTGTGTCAAAAATTCCCCCTGGGTTTATAAAACATTTGTTTTAAACATCTGTATATAATTAAGGGAATAGCAACAGTTTTACAGCTCTTGCATTTTGTCTATATATAATTGTTACTGCTTATTTTTATTTGCTTCTGCAGCAATTGTAAATTACTTAATCACCATTCTATATTTCGCAATTTTTTTTCCTGTTTAGTGAAGCAAAGCATCTCTATTACAGCCCTGAATCTCAGCACCGAGCGCAGGGATCCCTGTGGTAACCGTGGCAACCTCCTCAGCACGGTGGGTTCGGGCTCCGGCTCCTCACCGCTCACCGAGCAGAGCTCACCCAACCCTGCACAGAGCAGCGCTGAGCTGAGCTGGAGAGCAGCACAGCTGCTTCTGGTGTCTCCAGGGCTTTTAGTGCTGAGGCTGGAAGGCTGATGTCTGGATGCAGATATGCGATCAGCTGGGTGTGAACACACAATTCCTTTCTATTTTTTACTTTTTTTTCCCCCCAAACATTTAGACTTAGTCCATGATGTCATCTCTGGAAGAGCATTAAGGCTCTTCCTCAAGATGAGTGATGGTGCAGAGCCAAACCAGGCTGTGTTGGTTTTGAGATTTTGTCATCTTTATCCATACTGGAATGCGTAAGGCAAGCTAAGCTCTTTTAAATTACTTTTGAATTCATTAATTGAGTAAACCATTATGACTTTGCTACAAACACAAAGGTTAAAAGAAATAAATATTTTCCATCATATTCTATAGGGTTCTCAAACACTGTTAGCATAATCCATAACCTATTAACATAATCCATATTACATTTGCCAGTATTGTCTATTAAATTATGCCGCCTCGAGGACATGTGAAATCAGTACACATTGTATCTTACCCAGTTTCATTTTGTAGGTCTTTCTGAAGACTCCTTCACATTTCATGTGTATATTTTGAAACTATTACTAGGAATGAAGTTTTGTATTTAACAGCTACAAAACGTGGGCTGCCCCTCTGTTGAGATTGCCTGGTGCTGTTTGAAGGGAGTGCTCTACATGGTTAAAAACACTTCAAACTGAACTACTGTAAATTTTTCAGTCATCAGTTCTCACTTCAGTCCTTTGGTTCAGGCAGTCTTGCAAATTGTACCATGTCTTGTTTCCAATATCTTTCCAGTTTATAGATTGCTCCATTTTTGCAGCTTTCCAGAGTGACAACTTCAGTACATTCACATTTCTGAGAGCCAGTGCAGTCACCGTTTTTCCTCCAGATCTAGTCTTTCCCAAGAGAACTCCTCCTAGAAGGCTCCAAAACTAACTGTGCATTCAGAAGAATAAAAGTAGTTTGGGGGAAATGTTAAACTTTTGAAAAAGACCACCTTATTTTTACTTTTACTTACTCAAAAGAGACTTAGTTTACCCTTCATTAAAATCCAAGGGGACCAAAGTTTGTTCTTACTTTACTGTTCAAAATTCAGTATGGGAAATATATTAATTTACTGATATTAGTATAACTAAATAAAGAACTTATTTATGTATTGAGACCTTCTCTTTTTTTGAATTGATTTATGACATAAGGTCAATGAATGATCTCTTGTTTCTCTGGAGCTATAGAAAGGAAAGGCTGAAGTAATGGACTTAGGCTTGAAGTTTGCACTTCATAGAAGCCTAGAAAACTAGAATGGGAAAGAGACAAGAAAAATTAGAATTAAGTCTGTAATTTGAATTAGGGTTGAGACTGGGACTAGGTTTGAGTTGGACCACACGTAAGGTGAATTTGACAGAAAGTGGGTTTATGTTCGGGTTTATGTGGAAGAGAATTTTTCTGTGGAGTGCCAGATATGTTGCTTATTACTCATGTTGACATTGCATGCAGATCTCACTTGAGTTCCTATCGTGTTCCTAGGCTGATAACAGCAATAGGGTTGGTCAGCAAGAGAGCTGAGATTCGGCACACTTAATCTTCTTGCTTACTGCCAAAAGATCTACATGCTTCCCATAAACACTTCCAACTATGAAAATGACTACTACATAATTCTAAACTAGAATAACATCACTGGTTAAACTGTGGATCTGGAAAAAAAAAAAAAAAAGTAGATAAAACTGAGTGCATCAGCCACTGCTGTCCATAATCCTTTTTGTCACTCGTTGTCCAATTGTAAACAACAATACTTAATAGCATTTTCACAGAATCACAGAATCACAAAGTTGTAGGGGTTGGAAGGGACCTCCAGAGATCACCGAGTCCAACCCCCCTGCCAAAGCAGGCTCCCTACCCCAGGTGGGGACACCTGCTCGCGGGTGCTCCCAGGCCAAAAATCAAAGGTACCCCTTTTTTTTTTCATGTTACATCAATTTTCCTGTTATTTCTCCAGATTCTAAATTTCACAAAATTGTAATAATAGTAAAGTCTGTTTCTGCTTGTTGTGGAAGTAAACGAAGTCCAGCTTTAGAACTATTGGTAGCAAAGTATGAAAAAATTACTCTTACCTTACAGCCCAAGTCCTTGTCCTGAATCCATCTGCTTTGGAGATCACACAATAAAAGTAACAGTCTTTATTCTGCAAGTCTAATCACAGTCCATTATCCTGGCAAAGTTAATGGGAACAGAAATATTAACAAATCATACGCCTCTTGGTATATTTACCACAATTGATCTGAACATCAAGACAAAAATTTAGCAAGTTTGTGTAACCTGATGTTAGCTCAATTCTAAACCTGAACTTAAAACAATCTGGGAGACTTTTCCTGATGCAGGCACAAAGCATAAGGTATTTTTTCCTCTGAGTACCATACTTCATCCTGGTTCTGTGATCTTGAAGGAACCCCTCCAGCTTCTCTGTCCATAATCATGGACCCATTCCCAGCAGTAATTAGAGCAATTCCACCTTTACCATTTCTTTTCTTTTTTTGGTGTTTGAGTCAGTGCTTAGGCCCTACCTCTCAAATACTGCATAGTGAGAGATATTCATGACTTCTCTGCGAAATGCTTAAGTGTCTGTGACTAGTCTGAGCTCAGGATTTTTTGAAGGTTATGGGACAACATTGTTACTTGAGGCCAGTAGCCCAGATGTGCTCTCCCCTGATGGGATTTTGCTTCACAGTACTCAAGAGCTCTGATTACAAGTCCTTATAAAAAAGGCATGCTTAAGTGATCTCAGGTGATATTACACATCATGGCACAGTAAAATTGTTGGAGACAACTGTAAGATTACAGATACTATTATATTTTTAATATTTTGTTTGAATTACTGTATTATCAACTTCATAATGATGGCACCTAATAACATCAGTATTGCAGCCTAATGCTTGTAATGTGGAGATCTATCTCTGCATATCATTGAGGTGTCAATTAGAGAAAATGAGATTGCAAAAGAATGAGTGCACCTGTTAGCATTATGCTCTCCAGCATGTTAGTGATCTGACCAAAACAACACAGTGATCAGGAAACTAAACTCACCAAAAGCCAGAACAGACAATCACTTACTAGAGTATGGCTTCAATACAACAATTACATGACTCCTTCAGGAATCTTTGAGCTTTACTATTTTGCATTTCCATGTGTTTCTTAGCCAGGCTTTGCAGCACAGGGCCTATTCCAGAAGAATGCTTCATTCAGCATTCTTCTGAAATTCAATAGTTCATTCCAGAACTACCTTAAGCCTAGTTGAGATGTGCCAATATGCTTCAGTTTTTCTACTGTTTCTCTTCACATGAATATTCAGGTTTTCAGAGAATCTTCAACTCACCCTATTTCAGTATGAGATTAGAAAAGTTCATCTAAACCTTAGTAGTCCTGTATTACCTCTTCCTACAATATTCATATGGTCAGATGACAATCATTCTTCAATCATTTGAGTATCAGCACACTCCGCTACAAGAGAGAAACTCTATCTTGTACCCAATTACTGAAATTTAGGTAGGTTTGTTTACTTGTTTTTGTCCTTTCTTTGGTCTCTTGAAAACTTGCTGGCAAGACTTGGTAACAAGATTATCAATCAAGGCATAATACACCACCTATATTTTAGCAATTTCTAGAAACACAAATGAGGGGTAATCTGTTATACCAACACATCACAGGGTCTTTCAGAACAACAGGGAAAAACAGTCTGTTCCAGATGCTTCCATTCTCTCATTGTAAAAACCTATGATACTGTAAGTTATGGAAAAAATGGATGCACTCTCAGATCATGTGCGTATAAATGCGTAGGAGCTCGTCATGAGGTGATACTTCTGGCACACAAACTGTGATATACAGTCATTGCTTTGAAATGTTAGAGAATAAGTTAGAAGCAAAAAATATAAATATCCATTGTCTTGGGATGCCAGAAGGCATGAAAAATCACCACCCAATAAATCTTGTTGGGTTAAAAAATGAGTTCATGGCATCTCTCAGACTGAATACAGGATTACTTGATTTATGGGAGTTATGAAGTTACAAGGTGCCACTTGAGAAGCCCAAGGCAGGGAGCTCTGCAGGTGGAAGGATAAATAGTGATTATATTTGATTTTCAATACTGAGACAGGAAGGAAGAAAAAGAGTTCCATCAAACTTCCATCACTCTTTGAGATCCTCTGCCAAAAATCTCTTTCTAGTAGATACAGTGGCATCAGGGCAGTACCACTCCTTTAATGAAAAAGCATAACAGCCAAAAATTACTTGCTTAATGGAGATGCAGATTTTCATGCACATAAATCAGAAGATTTTTCTTCTGGAAGATTGTGATATTTAGACTCTGATGTAAGAAGACAATTCTTCAAAACCGAAATCAAGTGAGCAAGGGGAGGATTTGTGCTTTGATTTCAAATGTGTGCTATTGTGATTGACAAAGGTCTCTGAGATTTGGCCTAATAAGCAGCCAAAACCTGCTGAAATTGAAAACAGTTTTGGTACCCAGTTAATGGGATGGCAGTGAGCAGTGCAGGGAATTTGATTATCAAAACTATTGTGCAAAGGAATATTCACTTTTCCTACTTCCTGTTTGTTTATAAGGTTCATTTCCTTAATTTCTTTAAGATGTCATTAACATAAAGTTCTTTAAGCAAACGTGCTCTAGGTATAGGTAGGAATGTATAGGGAGAGCAGCAGAGATCCCTGGAGGTCTTGTCTTCTGTGTTTATAAGGCGAGTACATCCCAATTCCATTGAATCTAACTCTTTACAAAGCAGGCGTGCCTACTGAATTACACTCAGTAGGAAAAAAAGAAAAAAGGATTAAGAGATTAAGATTTACTAAAAGACAAACCACAAAAACAATCTTCTGCTTGATCTTGGACGCATAAAGAAAGAACCTTGGTTTTAACAGATTCTGAGTGCTTGAAGCTCTCCCAGACTTCAGTGGGAATGCTAGAAACTAAACACAAAGGGGAAACAACCAGTATTAAATACCTATCTTAAGGTATCAGAATTTGTTCTCCTTTATCCATCTTCCCACCTCCCACAGCCAAAACTGCTTCAGTGTTTCATTGAAAATCTGATATAGTGGGTAACAACCCCACCCATGGTAGGGAGTTGGAACAGGATGATCTTTCGGGTCCCATCCAACCCAGGCCATTCTGTGATTCTATGAATCCATGAAAAAGTGGGTCATTTAAGCAAAGCTAATGGTAAATACCTATGCTTAATATTCTCTCACCAATAATATGTTTTGATTTCAAGTGCCTTTGAAATTCCAGTTCTTTTTTGAACATAAATTCAGATAGTACAATTTTCTTCCCCTGCGCGCCTTTGAATCCTTTCATCTCTCTCTATGAATAGGCTGAGACTGGTGAGAGATAAAACCAAGTAAAAACTGAGAGAAGCCATAGGCAAAATGTAGAAAGGTGCTTAAATTTACTCTAAAATCTCAAGCTCAATCCATGTCAGAAAATAACCTGGTTACAGCATTCAGTTTGAAAGGTAACTTTCTTTATCCCCTATTCAAAGTATGCAGAAAAGATCACAATTAATACATGAGCTAAATCAGTAAAAATCTGGACAATGCATATAAAATTCTTCTCCTTGTTAAAGAGTTCTATGGGCTCCATATGATTTTGTCAGAACTCCCATTCTTTCAGGTTGCATTAAAAGATGCATTAAACAATTAAAATTCTTTCATTTTATTATCACATATAATTTTATTCCAATTTTTTTTTCTTATTCTGGCACTGGTATTCATCTTAGTACCTTTAGTTAGTTAGCAGATATATATAAATATATATTTTTAAACAAGCCTCTCAATCGGAATTAAATTTTCCTACTAAGCAGAATTAAATGTTACTTCAAAATGAATTCATTGGGTTCAGCTCTGGGGATTCAAAAATGCACTGCAGGAACCAGCCCTTGGTCAAAATGGGGCTTGATGTAAAACAAAAAAACCAAACTATTATTCCTTCAATGTTATGATCTAATTTAGTACTAAACTTCATTAAGAAATGTTTGGGTTTTTTCTTTATAATAGATGAGCAACTTTGAAACATGCTGATGATCCAGAAATAGTTAAGAAATCTACTTGTGCATCTCATAAATAATTCTGGCAGGTAAGAGCCAAGGTGCTGCTCCTTCTGTGGACACTTGTATAATTGTATAGTGGAATTCCCCGGGAACAACATGATATTAGTGAAGATTTGTCTTGAAAGATTTATCTTACTCTGTTAAAACAAGTCATTAAATTTGTATTTTTCAGCATCATAGGTCTTCATTGAGTCAAATAAACCATATTTTGTTTACCGCCCTGGAAAGATATAAATGCTAAATACTCTTTAACTTTATTTTATGAGACTGAATATTATATTCCTCTTTTCAGTGACCTTTTATTGCCTTGCGAATAAAAAAATAATCTAACAGACAGAAATAACAGCCATGGAAAGGTGGGATTTATGAGCATGCCAACTCCACTAAACCAAAGGATAAACATAATAGCCGCAGAATAAAAATAGTGAATTATCTAGTGCTTTATGCTGAAAACTTTAAAATAACTTTTTTTTTTTCCCCCCACAAAATCAGAGCTTTACTCATGTCATCATCTCAGAAGTAAAAGAGTACTTTCTTCCTTTCTTCAGTATCCTGATATGTCTAAGAAATAATTAGATATATATTTTTTTGTATGAAAAAGAATCCGAAAGAAATGTCCATCTGCACCACAGTACAACACTGAATACAACATCAAAGATTTCTATACTCTGAGCACAGCAGGCTTTTATATTATCATAATAATGGCAAGTATTTGTTGCAAATGATTGCATGAAGTTTACAACCCAGCAAAATAAACCAAGTTTTCATGCTAGAATCTATTTGCTTTAAAGCATTTCAGATTTTCAAATTTAGTCTGCTTTAAGAAGTAGTACTGTAAAATAGAAACTTAGTTTTCCTGAGATCTGCTCTCATGGTTTTGTTTTACACTGCTCAGAGATACTGTTTAGCTGCTCTCATGATAAAATTTACTGAAATCCTGAGCAAATAGTTCTTCTACACATTCTTCTGTTCTTTCAGGTGAAGAAACAGTTATATTCTCAAAATATGTGATTAGGCCTCTTTGTTAAATCTACTCTGCATTTTAAGACATTTCACATTGACAGTTAAATCTAATTTTTCTTTAATTCAAAAATTCTTGCTGAGGTCATGCACGTACAGATCATACTCGTTGGTATATAGCTGATTGCGTGATTTCAACCCTTCTGCCTTTTGTTAAAGGTAAGAAACTAGTAAGTATTAGTTTTACAATTTTTGTTCACTCATATAGCACTGCACCTGCATTAACAGACCAGCACAAGTGATTGACATTTATTCCATGTATATTTTCTTGGGAATCTCCATGATAGGAACCAACTTTTTTCCTAGCTCAGTCACATTTAGAGCTTCCTTTCTCTTTCCAAATGGTACTAATTAGTTGCTAGTTTTCTACTACTCACTCCAACTAGCCCACGTGACTCTTTGGAGAGGGAGAAGAGACAGAGAGCAAAAGAATGGGAGACAGTAAGGTATCCCCTTGCCAGCAAACCTCCCCTCTGAGGATCTGTAAGGTTTAGATGGGATGTTAAGAGAAGAACAACAAGCAGAGAAGAAAAACCTACAGGAATCTGAGGAAGAGATATATTTTCCAGGAAAAAAAAAAAAAAAAAACAACAAGAAAAAGTAAGGAATGGTCTGTCTATGCTAGACAGGGCAAGGAGCAATGGTCAAGTCCTCTGTCAGACAGGGCTTTGGGCTGACCTCCTCTTTAAGAATGAGATATTTGCCTCTTCCCAGGCTTGACACAGCTGAAAGAGAAATACACAGTTGTATGGTATGAAATAGAGGTACACAGTTGCTTCTGACCAGTTTTCAGACAACTCAGAAAGGTATCAGTCACAATTTGATAATAAAGAAGAAATAGCTCACCCCACTCCAGAGATAAGGGCTTTTCTGGAAAACTCCAAGAAGGAAACCCAAACATTCCCCAAAGAGATATTTCTCTGTTGGCTACCAGCCCCTAAATGAGGTTAGGAAAGTGTGGACCCAGGGTTTGCCCCTTCCAGTCACGCAGGTGAATTGCTTCCACCTGTGCTCCCAAGGCTCACCACCCCTCTTCACCAGGTGCTCAGCCACTGATTTAGGCCATGACCTAACAGTTCCCGTACAATGGTGAAGAGCACTTTCACCTTTCTCACGCTGGACAAGCTGCACTCTTATCAATCTCTTGAGAAGAAACTGATAAAATTTCACAGTTGCACATATTTCCTAAGCATACATGCTCTTCTGTAAAAAAGAGCTTAACTCATTCTTAGTTATCTCTTGTCTAAAGACAGTTCTGAGCCATCTCCGGATGAGGAGATAAGACTGAATGGCCCTCATTGTCTGGCGCTTTCAAGGGACTTTGTGGTGACTCCCATTGTCATGATTATTATCTCTTTGGTGGAAGATTGAAGTGAATGAGCAACACTGCATACTACCTTTTTCAAAAGTGATACGTGTAATTCTAAGCAGAAATACCCAGAATTTGCCAGATTTTCAATTGCACAAAATAACACATAGTAAACCTGAAGTGAATTATGATGTCTCCTCATTCATAGGATGGAGTGAGAATTCTACTGTCCTAAGATATCATAGTTTTTTAAGCGAAATTACTAACAAAAATATTTGAGAAGAAAATGTCCAATTTATACCTATAATAAATTTTTTTTTTTGCAGCAGTAGCAGCTGTGTCTGTTTCATGTAGATGACAGGCTGACAAATGGAAAGATTATTTCTGTTCCTTCTTTCATTTGAGAGTCATAAATCTGAAAAAGCAGAATAGATTTTTTTCTTGCATCTTGTAAGATTTTATGGGAAGATCCAAGATGGCAGAAAGGGCACAATTCCAGAATATAAATAAGGTCTGTACTCGTACATCCTGCAGTCACTCAGCGTAATTTGACGGTATCTATGTCAAATCAATACACAATGCTTTGTTGAACTAGTGGAGTAAGAGGATATGTCTGATAAAATAAACAGTCTGTTGTCCATGCCATTGACATGAATGCTTGTTTAATAAGATTGTTTTGATTCAAAGTCAGTTTTCATATTTATACTACTGCAAACCAAGCAAAAGCAGTTGTCAGCCATCCGTATACCCTCATATTTGGAGGTGTACAAAGCTCTATTCAGCTTTGCAGCGAGGTGTGGGCATAGTGCTAACATAGTTGAGTACTATGATAATTTATATTCAACCTGCATTGACAGACAAAGCCTCCTCAGTGTTGAGACAAAGACCAAACAAACTGCATATTGAGTTGCTGGTCAACACAATTGCTCTTCACTGTTAGGCATTCCATTCTGTACTACTCTGGAACCAGCCAATCAGAGAACAGAAATTGCACCATGGACCTACAGCTCCACAGGTCTTTTTTTCTTGTTTTTTTAAATGCAGGAGCTCTGATAAAAAGTCCTCATCAGGCTAAGAGTAGTTAAATTTTAGAAGAATGTTTCTCATGCATATCCGTGGCAATACAAAGGCAATGGTCTAAATTTTATTTGCAATGGTTATCAGCTAAAGATGGTGAAAAAGACACCCTGGACCACACTGCAAAGCGTCTTTGGTGGACAGTGGGGTCAGCAGAAACTGATGTCTCAGACCACTGACACAATTAGGTTGTAAATTCTTTATTAAGTCTTAAATGGCATAACTCATGTGCAGTTTTATTTAGATGTCCTGATGACTGCTTATGTCTTTTTAAACAGTAAACGTTTTAATTTTATTTTATTATTAATTTTAATTTAATTTTAAAATTAATCAATTTCTTCTTTTATTCCTGTACGTGTATACAAACAAGTCTTTTTTTCAGTCAAAGTATCAAGTTTATAATAATCAGAGGTCACTTCAATGTCATCATTTAATGTAGCAAAGGTCATATTATAATAAGGATTTATAGTAATCTAGTTACCTCGAGAAAGTGATTTTATTCATAGTCTGTTCAGTCAGGTTCTGCTCTTTAACTGTGTAATGTCTTCTCCTTTGCTCAAAGCCTTTCTTATCTCCTTTTGTAAGGGGTACTGGTTGTTGCTTAAGCATGAATGGTTCAAACTAATGAGTTTTGAGTTGAACGTACAAGGCCTGTTTTGGGATAGCGCCCTGGTCTTCTCTAGTACACGAAAGAACAGCCTGAAGTGGAGAGGGCAAGGCTGTGCCAGTGAGCTAGTGTCTTACAACATGGTGAACAGGAGGCACAGAGTTCCTCATGTGCCTTCCCTCTGCCTCCCACTTTCTGTGCTCAGCATCCATCTCCAGATGGAGTGCAATAGGGAAGAAGTAGAGAGGTCACTCCCTCCCTCTTCTAGAATGAGGCCGCCTTCAGAGTATGATTCAGGAAATGATCCTTTTTCACGCATTCCACCCTTTGGCAAGCATCTTACCACAGAAGATGCCAGCAGCATTTCTACCTCCAGGAAGGAGATAAAATTGTAAATAACATTTAAGAGTTAACTATTTTTGGCTGTGTTGCATAGGATGAAAGTCCCATTTTCTCCTTCAGAAATTCATTTTGTATGATCTGACTGAGGCATGTCAGGGAAGTAACACAAGACATTTCTGCAATTACAGGTGCCACAGACCAGAGATCAGCAGCATAAGTGCAGCTTGATGAAAAATGTGAAATAACAAAAGGCAGAATTACTGCAGCAGTTGCGATGTCAGGACTCCTCAGGGTGATGCAGTTCCTGCAGCATCAAGCAAACCTGTGCTGCAATTCAGACATGTCCCATGGCACAAGCAACACCACAAGTCATCACTGTGTGAAGCCAAGCTGTGGCACTGTCCTCTGAACAAGGCAGCAGACTCAGTGCTACCCTGACCTACAAGAGAAACAGTTCTTTTCTGCTCCACTGACGAATATGCTGAGAGATGAAAACTATCTGGATATATAAAAATATATATTAAAAAACTGGATATTAAAAAAATCCTGGAAAAGAGGATCCTAGTACTGTTTGTAAATACCCCCAAAATTGTGAAAGAAAGCAACAAGCAAATTTGTTGAAATTCAACCAAACATATTTAATTCAGGCCCATATGTCAGGGACAAAGTCTGTTACATTAAAAAACTATCAATAAAAAAAACAACACTGTAGAGAAAGTCTTGGGTTTTGGAGCAGATGATCTGCTGCTCAGTGCTGTGGCAAGAAAAGCTGATGTAGATAAACAGGATCTAAGCAAGAAGTTTATACTGCTGAATATTTTTTCGCTATGTCTCATGATAAGAAACAGAGGACATAAAAGGAAAACAATGTGGCAGACTCAAAACAAAAGGCTTTTCTTTTTTTTTTTTTTTTTTTTTTTTTTTTTTTTTTTAAACTCGCTGGCACTCAGTATTATGGATACTAAAACTTATGCTAATGAGACAAATTCTTGTGACAACTTTCTGTGGAGCACTCTTGAGCACAGGGATGTCCGAATTTGTCCATAGAATTGAAGGCCTATAGAGAAGTCCAGAAACTATCATTCACTTCTTTCCACATTCATACTTTTCCCAAATCATTCCACTACACACCACTGTCAAAGACAAATCATTAATCTAGATAGACCTTGAGTCTGACCTAGTACAGCTAGTCACATACTGTTGTTCTTACTACTGCTATATTTACCATCCTGATATATGATTATCTCTCTAATATTTTGTCCAATTCTGACATTTACAGGAGGAAAATGAAAAATTGAAGTCTGTAAAAATTGTTTACAGTATTAGGAAACAGGTCAAATACTAACAGATCCTGTCCTATCTCCCTTAACAAGGGCAGGGAAAGCTAAGGGATAGTTTGCTCACAGTCCAAAAGCATCCAACTGGGGAAGGCCAAACTCTTCAGCAGAACAGAGACCTGTATGATGATAGGATTCATCTAGATAAATATAGATGTCTGTATCTCAGCTGCTCCATCTAGAAGCTATGCATGTCAATACAGATCTAAGCAATATTCTCAGCGGATGGTAAAGCACAATTCATCTAAGTCTAGAGTAGATGTCTAAAACAGGTTAGATGAATCACTCCCTTAACATTTCTGTTTGCTCCACTGCCTGTAAAAGGTACCTGTTGTGACTCACACAGTTGTAGACCTCTATTGGAGGTGCCTGAAGTTGGATGAATCAATCATAACATCTATGATGTGATTAGTAGAGAATAGTAGAGTAATTAGAAGTAAATTACTTCTGAGTGTTATTAGTGACAGGAACACATTACGAAGGACCAAGATGACTTTTCTTTCAACTGCTTACTATAAAGTAAGGATAGGCTAAATTTCCTAGATGTGTCCTAGCTGAAACACAGCTGTTGGCCTTGCACCAGAGGACTCCTCTGGTCCATGTTGCAAAGAAGGTCAGAATCTTGCCCTTGAAAATCTGTGCCTTCAAACACTGTTTATGAATAGTGGCATGTTTTCTATGCCTTGTTAAGCGATTCTTGATCAGTACAGATGTGCCGTTTACCTGCAGGGCTTTTCCCACAGTTTTTTGCTGCTGCATTTGTTTCAAAGGATTTAATGTTACAAATCATCTTATGAATCTTAGATATGCCGAAATGTCCCATCAATACCAAGAGACAGATGTAGCAGCACCTCAGAATGTGGTAGCATTCCCCCTTAGCAATCTGCTCCCTGGTGTGCAGTCAAAAGTGAAGCTGTAGTACTGCACAGCCATTTCTTTAAACATGACGGCAACATCCAACACTGTGGGGCCAAATTTATCTTTGCATCACTTATTTCTCAGTGAAAATGCCTGATTTAAGACTAGATGTTTAAGGAAAGTCTTTGCTCACTGCGATGTTTATCTTTAGTACGTGATGACTTTACATCTGTATTGTCAAGCATAAAGAGAAAAATGATCTGTACAATGAGCAACTTGAATTGTACTCATGTTTTCATTACATATGATGGCAAGCAAACAAATTAATTAAACTTAGAACTCACAAGTTCTACCTTATTTTGTATTCCAGCCATTTTGGATGACTAAACATCACTTGCATACGT